ATATAATATACAAGTTTCACTTTTTAAATGGAATTACTGAAATAAATCTACTTTTTAATGATATTCTAATTTTATGACCAGCACCTGTACGTGCTGCCAAAAAGTGTGGACATCTTCATTGCGTGTTTTCTGATGTTAGGGTACATGTCGTTTGGGAGGGCGGCATAGAAGTCAATGAGACTGTTTGGCTTGATCGCGTCTTTCAGAACATCACAGTTCTGTAACTCGGCCAATCAATGTCAGCAACAAAGGGGTTCTGGAAAAGACGGATTTCTTTTGCATAAACATGTAGTTCACGGAATCGCACACCGAACTGCGCCTTCAGCATTTCCAGTGCTTCTACACACTTTTCAGCTGGAAACAGGACCGCTGTGTTCTCTGCAGAGAGGTTTTGTGTAGCAAGGAGATGGATGAAGCTGTGCTTTTTCACTTGTCCCAAAAGCAGCTCTAGTTTCACCTCAAATGCTTTTATGTGGGAATACATTTCACAAATGAGTTTCCCCTGGCCTTGTAGCTGCAAGTTAAAGCTGTTCAGCATTTCTGTCATGTCTGTTAAAAATGCAAGGTGCCATTTCCATTCTGGGTCGATCAGCTCCGGCACCATTTTGTTTTGTGAATGAAGAAATGCGTTAATTTTAGGTAGCAGCTCTTAAAAACACCTCAAAACTCTGCCCCGGCTCAACCATCGGACCTCTGTGTAGTACAGCACATCTCCGTGTGCAGATTCCAATTCAGACAGGAATTCTTGGAACTGCTTGTGTTTAAGCCCCTTTGCTCTGATGAAGTTTATGCATGATACCACAACCTTCATGACAGAATCCCACGTTAACACTTTGCAGCACAGTGCTTGCTGGTGAATTAGGCAGTGGACTTGTAGCGGGGCGGCGAGACCACGTTCCTCCATCTCCCGGTTCATGCGTCCTATTAGACCCCGAGACATCTCCACCATACTAGGAGCCCCCTCGGTTGTGATGCTGGCCAGCTTTGACCAGTCCAGGTCCAACTCTTCCATGGTTTGGTACACTTTGCTGAAAATYTCCTCCCCCCGTCGTAGTCCCTTTGAGACTTTGGAGGGCTGCCAGCTCCTCGCACATCTCAAAGTTTGCGCTAACTCCACGAATAAAAATGAGCAGCTGCGTGGTGTCCTGCACGTCCGTGCTCTCATCCAGTGCTAATGAAAAAAATTCAAATTCTTTCGTCTTCTGCTGCAGCTGGGCATATACTGTACATTACCCCCGATTTCTTCAATGCGTCTGGTGATTGTACTCGCTGAAAGTCTCACGGAATTAAAGACATCTTTCTTCTCGGGACACACCTCCTACACGACAGCATTCATGCATTTCTTGACAAACTCCCCATCAGTGAAAGGTTTGCCGCTGATTGCAATCAGTTAAGCAACCCGAAAGCTGGCCCAAACAGATGGCTGGTTCAGCTGAGCTTGGCGAAATATGTATTCTGCTGAGCAAACAGTCCACTTTTTAGCTTTGAAAGTTTGTCTGCTCGTATTTGGCCTTGCAAGCTAGCATACTTGTCTTTGTGACGGGATTCATAGTGTCGCCGCAGATTGTATTCTTTGAATACTGCCACCGCCTCTTGACAGATGAGACAGACAGCCTTTTCTTTGTATTGAACAAAAAAATAATTGTTTGTCCACTGCAGCTTAAATGCCCTGCATTCTGAATCAATTTTTCTCTTACCTAATCTTTTCGCCATTATTCCGTTCTCTCTTTGAGAGGGGCGGGTTTAGGATGTTTTTTCTGGGGGTTGCCAGATAGGGGCACAGACTGCAGACGGGTGGAACAGAATGTCACATTATATGCATGTATGTATGAAATAGTTACTAACTAATAATAGTTAATGAAAATAGTTCATAACTAAGGAACATTTTATAGCAAAAGTCCAACTTTATAATCAAATATTAATTCATATTTATGAAAAAAACTAAATGCTCTCTGGTATTGTTCTGGGGGCCCGACCAAATGGGGAGGCGGGCCGGATCTGGCCCGCGGGCCGTAGTTTGGGGACCACTGATTTAGGATAATCAGTGCACATTTTCAGAAGCCTTCTCTGATGGTTTAAGGAAGGCATTAGTGCCTCTGGCATGGGCAGTTTACAGATCTATAAATGGTAAATGGACTGCACGTTCATAGTGCCTTTCTGTCCACCCAGGATACTGAAAGCGCTTTACAATACAATCTGTGTCCTCATTTACCCATTCACACTGCACTTTATTAAGTCTTTACAAAGATATCATGTACAAATCATCTATGGAGACTAATCAGTGCCAATCACATTCATACACTAATGGGACACACATCAGAGGCATTGGGGTTAAATATCTTGCCCAAGAACACAACAACTGAGACAGCTAGAAGAGGGGATCAAACTGGAAACCTACTGGTTCAAAGACAACTCCTCTAACCACTCTGCCACAGCCCCATCACCATCAATGTAGAAAAAAATGAATAGGTTTAAGAACATTATCCTTTCATTCATCAAAAAATAGCCACAAAGACGTAGGACTGTTGAACAATTGGAATTCTCCATCAGACAAGATTTGGTCAACATTCTCCTCCTAACACAGCAGCAGCTGGTCTCCTCAGTTCCTAGATGTTTGAAAGCTGATGCTTCACAGTGGGAATCGTGGCCTTGTCCTATCTGTTATATATATATATA